ACGGAAATGAATTGCTTCCTAAATATTTGATAATCACCAGTCCCTTTCGGAGGCGTGGGTTCGAATCCCACCACTGCCACCAGTGTGTTGGTATATATATATATATATATATATATATATATATATATATATATATATATATATATATATATATATATATATATATATATATATATATATTAGTTCTTGAATTGATAAGTGGCAGGGCTGAAGTAAACCCCTTGTTGGTTTTGCTTTATTGTAGAACAATATAGTTTCACAGGTACTGAGTTCAGTTGAGAATATATTGTACCTTCTCTGCTAAGGGAAGTGTCTTAGCGCACTTATAGGAGAACACTTAAGTGTTCACTGGGTAATAAGTGATATGAGTCTCCTGTCACTGACCCAGGGAGAGAGAGCGATGAGGCCTCAAAGAGGGAACGCGTCAGATATGTTGTTGCTGACATGCGCTGACCTCAGCCTGCCCTCGCTCGCTCCCGGAAGGAAATGTCACCTCAGCAATGCATGAAATGTACAACTACTGAGTCATGGTTGAATAACTTAGTGAATAACTACTGAGCCATTGTTAAATGACTTAGTGAATAATTTGGTGTTATACATTTCGGTACATATTTATATAATACAAATGGTGCTGTTACAGCCATTCTACAAGCGGCATTCACAGAAGAACAAATAAAACAGATGATCACCATTACGATAGTGACTTTCTCTACTATAATAAAGAAACAAGATACCAGCACCGAAAATATAATAAATGCAGTTATGACACAGCTCACAGAAAAGATGCAGGAAGACCAGACCCCGAAAACTCCACAACTACAAGTGGAACAGACGACGCCCTTGAGTCAGATATCAGACAAGAAGAAGAACTTGCCATCCGAGAGATCACTCAAAACCGTGAAACCTCAAGCCCCTTGCAACAGATCACGAGGAATAGAACAACAAGCACAGACCGTCAGCAAACACACGATCACAGGCAAGAACGACAGCACCCTGACGAGAGAAGAAAAAACTCCCGAGATACCTCCCAAAACAAGCGGAATTCCACCTCCTGCTCCTCCCTCAGAGCAGGTGCCCAAGAAACAGCCACCATTCCTAAAGGACGAGGAGGAGAGCGACTCAACCATGAACGCCGAGAGCAACTACAGCACCAGAGACGAGGAGATAATGATAGAATAGCCCCACCTCCTTGTCATCTCAAGATAACACAGTGGAATGTACAAGGCCTGTCCAACAAACGGCATACTGTACAAGCAGCAGCCATAGCTAAAAATATTGATGTCTTCATTCTGCAAGAAACCCTGATGTCAAAAGATAAACAATTCCTCTTGCCTGGATACCAACAGTACACTGTACCAAAAGGGCCCAACTCCCATGGCAGCATGATTCTCTTCAGGGCGACCATCCCCAGTTCAGAAGTAGAGCCAGTTCATTGTGGAGATGGAGTAGAGGCACAAGCTGTTCGGATACACCTGGCAAACGACAGTCTTGTAGTATACAATATCTATAAACCGCCACCCAAACGACAAGAAGCCGGTGAACTACTGACACAAGCAACACAGGAACTTGTGTTCATTGCTGGAGACTTCAACGCCCACCATCCAACGATCAATCCGACCACAACAATGAACCAGGATGGCCATCACCTAGTGGAACTGCTGACAGATGTTCCAGAAATAACGCTCATTAATACTGGGGAACCAACACACATACTGGGAGGAACATTGGACCTCACATTCATCCCCACTGAGCTCGTTTCAGTAGCTCAGTGGGAGGTAGATGATGAACTGATTAGTGGCCACTTTGCAATGACAACTATTTTGAGGATGGAGCTACTCCCTCCTCCCCCACGTCCGTCACCCAGATGGAATACCAAGAAAGCAAATTGGAAATTATATCAAGATGTGATCCAAAAATGGTATTCGAACTATGAACCAGCAGAAGATATTGACCAACTAAATCAGGACCTTACTGATGCCATACAACACGCAGCAGAGGAAGCAATACCAAAAACAAATCCTACACATAGACACCACAAAGACTACTGGTTCTACAATGACGAGGTCAGAGAACAGAATCACAGAATCAGCACATTCAGAAGACATCTCCGACAGTCCCCTTCCCCTGAGGGAGTGAAACTCTTGAAAGCTGCTGTCCAACATGCTCGTCAAATTACTCAGAAAATTTGGGAAGACAAATGGCTCGAGTGGTGTGCAACCTTTAATGCACACACTAGCCTGAGTGAACTCTTGAGAAAACTCAGGATAGCAACAGGAAAACTGCCCAGAGTTTCAGCCCACCCCAGCCACTATAGGAAGCAAATCGCTTGGCAGAACACTTTGCAGAACGCTTGTAATCAGCTCAACTACCTCCTGAAATAAGACTTCATCTACAGCAAGTACAACTGGAGAGAGAAGTAGTAGTCAGACATGCAATTGATCAAACTGACACTACAGACTGTCTGTTTACTATAGACGACATCAGGAAGGGCCAGGAAAACAAGCAGACATCGCCCCTGGCAGTGATGGTAGAACCTATTCATTGCTCAGCAATGCAGAACTTGCTGGTGAACTTGCTCTCCTAACAGTTATCAACGCATCATGGTCAGCAAGCAAACTCCCGTCAGCTTGGAAAAGAGCAAACATTTTTTCCTATTCCCAAACCCAATGGTCCCCAGAATTTCAGACTAATATCACTAACAGCATGCATCGGCAAAACCGCCGAAAGGTTGGTCCTAACACGACTCCTCTGGAAAACTGGACCACTTCACTACAATCTCTTTGAATTCACCAAAGGTGTCAGCACTGCACACAGTTTGGCCACTCTCCTAGGATCGATTGGTCAAAATAAGACAATCGTAGTATTCCTTTATCTAGAGAAAGCATTTGAGCTGGCAAATGCACAGGCCATTGTAACCACTCTGGCCCGGAAAGGCGTCAAGGGATGCCTACTGGCTTGGATTACTGACTATCTCCAAAACAGAACAGCAAGAGTTACCTGTCAAGGACAAGTCTCAGATCACCAAAGACTGGAAAATGGCACACCACAAGGAGGAGTTCTTAGTCCAACTCTCTTCAACATCTTCATGGAAAACTTGTGTCGGTTCCCCTTTCAAGAAGGAACCAAACTGGTATGCTATGCTGAAGACTTAGCACTGATAGTAAAAGGCAGAAACCAGATCAGCAAAGTCCAAAGAGCACTAGACCTCATCAGTGAAGAATGTATGAGTCTCGAACTCAAGATATCAATCCCAAAATCGAAAGCCATGAAGATTGGACACAATGAGCAGGGACACAACTGCAAATACAAGGTATTGCCCTACAATGGGTCAATGTATACAATTACCTGGGCATCTGGATTGACAAAGGCCTCAAAGTTGAGCTAGCTGCCATACTTGGAGCCCGAAGTCACGCTTCCCTAAACAGTCAACAAGGCGTTGTAGTACACACTGACTCACGATGTGCTATTGAAGCACTACAATGCAGAGAGCCTAGAGACAAATTCATCTCATAACATCCGTTGTTGGCCTATTGCAAAGGCTAAAACTACAAGATCGGCAAGTAATCATTAACTGGGTGCCCAGTCATATCGGAATCCCAGGGAATGAACGAGCTGATGCTGCTGCCAAGGCTGCGTTAGGACAGCGAAACATTGAGATGAACATCCCGCCCAGTCAGGAGCAGATAAAGAAGACCACGATAACACGAACTGCCCAGTGGAAAATAGACAAACATAGAAGATTAACACCAGTATCACGGTCGGCCAGGTGGTACTATCTGGTCACGAATTATGAGAGACCACCACTCATGAAGGATATAACAAGAAGGGAAGAAGCCATCTTCCACCGACTGAGTCTGGGATACCCATGCATATGGGAAATCATTGTACAAGTACCAGCAGAGCAGCGCATGTGCAAGACCTGCGACGGCGGAGCAGAAAACTCACTGCAGCATTACCTCATAGAGTGCCCTGGAACAAAATTAGCTAGGAGAAACATACAACCCCCAATCACAGCAGAGAAGGTTGCCAAAATACTAACCACCAACCACTCTCAAGAAACCCTACAGTTTCTTACCGAGCATCCACCCCCCACGCTAGTGGTGGAGATGTACAGTTAACTAAAAAGATGCTGGTGTTTTATCCCAGCAGTAGGTGGACCAGCATTTTAGCTTAAGGTCCGTGCAGGTAATATTCCTACAAATCTTAAAAACAAACACACACACACACACACAAACACACCAGGGTTCGCATACAGTGTCAGCCTCATTGCCTCCTTGTGTACCGAAGGCTGTCTGCCTAACGGGATCCACTTGTACTTTTTTTATCAAAATATTTGACTAATGGACAAATAATCGTAAAACAAATTACTGTATATGTACCATTAATTTTCAGGTTTTGATTAACCATTTTGATAATTCAGTGATATGCACTAGTACAAACCTCATGAGAGCGGTAATGTTATTTTTTTATGTTAAGAATTGACAAACAACAGTATTATAAATTCTTTTAGTCCAAAAATAATGATTACACACATACTGTAGATGGGACACACTGAACAAAGTTAGCAGTTGCAACACCTCTCCTTCTACGAATCCCTTTTTCAGAGTGGTGGTGAGATACTGCCGGGGGAGGTGGAGGGGGCAGTGCCAGAACTACTACGTCAGCGGGAAATGCTCGAGCGTTCTGTGGCTACACTCCGAGCGCAGGCGCAGAAGCTGGCCCGCGCACACAAGGATAAAGTCACCACGCTCGTCAAGGTCAGGTTTATTTACCGGAGTGAATATCATTTTTTTATCTGGATACCTTAGAGATAACTGAATGAATGACGTAGCTACAATATACTACACAGGAATGAGATCCCTTACGGGCATTTCCACGAGAAGCTGCCTTATCCATTGGTTTGAACCCTGATATTAGCATAGCATACATTTTTGCCAAAAATGTCAAAAAGATGTAATTACTTGTACAAAATAAAATAAATGGGCACAAGTCAAAGGAAACATCGACAATTATTGGAGCGTTTCAAAGCTGTCAACAATGACGTCATCAGTTCGGAAACTGTGGACAAAGAGTTGTGGGGTTATGAGATATTGGTTCACACTCAGGATGGGATGGAGAAAGGAAACTCACGATGTGCTCTCTGTATACATAACACATATTGTATTGGATGTACAATGCAGCTTGGGGCTGGGGGGGGTGGCAGAGTGAGTCCAAGCGTGGTGTAGGGAGAGCTGGTTGGTGAGGGTGCTCAGAGGAGGACAGGCAGCTTGTAGGGCGCCATGGTCGCCGGTGGGAGCGAGGGCCACCAGGCAGGAGCGGAGGCGGTGTTGCTTGCTGGTGGCTGGGTGAGGGGATCTGGTAGGGAGAAAGTCTGAGCAACCAGATCCTTCATCTTTCTTATTGGTGTTTTTGTCTTTGTTCTGCTCCCTTGGGTCGTCAGACCTTTGTATTAATATTGATTTGTTATATAATGCTGCTTATTATTATTATTTTTATTATTTGAGTTAGAGGCCTGAATCTGCGCGTGGCAGCTTTGGGAGGAGGCCGCAGAACAGGCATTAAGGTTGATAGTTGACCTCCGCTTTGTTAGGCGGCGCTGGTTACCGACCTTGACCACGAGGCATACGCTGGGGAATTCGAAGAGGGTCGGCTGGTCAGCGACACGGCGGTTGTAGGGGAGGAATCCACTACAGGAGCACGACACAAATACCGTGAAGCCTCTGGAAGAAATATATTCTTGTTTATCCTTGCTTATATCAACTGATATTTAATAATTTTCAATAGACGAATCCCTTCCTGCTGACCAAAAGGCTTGGTCTGCAATAATTGCAGACCAAGCCTTTTGGTGAATTATTCACCATGGTGAAAGGCTTTAAGCCATCAGGGCAAACCAAGATAGGGACAAAAAGGCGATTGACAATGTTACTTGACCTACACTCTAACTGGCAACTGTGGGAAACATCGGCAGATTATGGGGATCATAGTGACCGTCAGGAGGAAGTTTTTGCCGCGCCCAAGTGTACATTATACAAGGAACCAAAAGCTGTTATGATTGAAAAATAGTACAGACTTTATATGACACATGTTTAGTAATTTAGAGTTGATCAATAATATATGTCATCAACGGTTGATGTTGTGACCAACCATATTCTCACTTTACTACGTTATTTATTGGCACTATTTGTAACCGCCATCCGGGCGGTTAAACGAGTAATTAGACTCGTCACGTTAAACTCAAACTTAATAATTCGGTCAAACCTGTTGAATACAATTCATTTTAGTATTTTAAATAAATCATACATAGGCACTCCTATATAAATGTTTAATCCAATATATATTTACATAACAATCATAGCTATGTAATTAGTCTAATCTTAACACTTACAATGAGTACTTAATTTGCCATATTTCTATATTGTCACAATGATAAATGATGCAATGGACACAGTCTACCTGTGTACACAATAAGTAATAGTTAAACTTACGTGTTGAAAGTCTAGAGAGAAACCAGGTTAGGTGTTGCTTCTAAGGTAGCTATAATGCCAGCCCGATCTCCTGGCCCACCCTGGCTGGTCGGCGAGGGCTGAGTCAGGTGATTATGATTATACATAAACAAGCTCCCCTTACACACTCCAACCTCCTCTGGGCCTCTCATCTCCACCATCTAATACTCTATATACTGTATACTGGCAGGCACACCCAATAAACATGACATGACTTACAACCTAACATAATGTTTGTTTATGTGTCATCATAAGTCAGTACCGCTTGCGGTAACACTATTGATACTGTGCTATAATTATGTCGCTCTTGAATCTGTACTATATCTCACAATATGCTTCCCATATCATGTTAATTTGATCAACAATAAAGAATAAATAACCAAAAGTCACCTGGGTACCAACCTTTAACCTTGCCCACGATATAACATAAAAGTGATAGTTAAGACATTACCTATGGCTTCTTATCTTCAACTCTCTATAGTAAGTTTTATTTATCATGAAATTAAATGATACTCTCTTCTTCTAGCCTTACTGTGCTAGATTATTCATTAACAGTTTATACGTAAATTTCTTCTCAGCCCGCATAGGTTATGTTATTTGGCTTAAAGTAATTTGTTCAGCTGCTTAAACCAACCACTACCATAACAGTCTCTTTGGGCAGTATAAAGTATAGAATTAAAGGAGATTTTGTATTACCTTTACAAATGTCTAACTGGTGACACAAAATACATGTAATTGAAATAGCTGGAGACACCGAGCAATACCGGTGTAGCAGGACATATTATACCCGCTAGGTTATACCAGAGAACAGGTACTGAACTTTATGACTAAGGCTATTTTAAACCCCGGGTGTAAACTAGCATAGGCCAGATACTACTCCCCTGGCCAGAATACAGTATACTGTTCCCTCTGTTGTCTTACCCGCAGGAAGTTTTTTTTTTTTTTTTTTTTCTAATATACTTACTAATATTACTTCCAAATTTATTACTTCCTTATAATCATTAACACGGTATTATTTTTATGGATTGTTATTATTATTATTATTATTATTATTTTTATTATTATTATTATTATTATTATTATTATTATTATTATTATTATTATTATTATTATTATTATTATTATTATTATTATTATTATTATTATTATTATTGTTATTATTATTATTATTATTACTTATTAATTTCCTTTTTAATTTTGCAGATCTTATATAATTATATAAAATGATGCCACCTTTAAGATAACTTTTTATGATAACTACACTTTGATGGCACAATTTTATGGTAATCAAACGAAAATGGCCCAACAATCTTATACTTGAACACTAATTTGTTAGATAATTGTAATCATTAAATATCATCTCACAAAATTATACACAAAACATGTATCTTTGAGGTATTAAAGGCTACATACGTGTTCTAGTGATACTTATGGATATATGACATTATTTAGAATCATAATCTTATGATACAAACTTTTTCTCTGGATAAGTACACATAACCGACGAGTATTTTTTAAAAGTGTATGATTTAACCCATTCTTCCCCAGGCCTTCCACGACCTCTGCCCCCTCCCTCACCGCCGCTCCCTGGAGACAACCTAGGTAGAGTAACAAATTCTAGCTAATCACATGGTACTAAAGAGATGTTTCTGGCAGTACAGGAGAACAGTGACTTGCTGGGATCACTGCGGGAGCTGGAGGACAAGGTGTGGAAGCTGGAGAGAGACTTACGGCAGGCAGAGAGCATTGCAGGGCTGAGGGACCCGCGCTCTGGCAAGCGTCGGGCATCCAGGGACCAACTGGTACAGACGGTGACGCGACAGGCGGACACCATAGCCCGTCTGCAGGAGCAGCTTATGATGGTCCAGAAGGTTAGCTAACTTTTCCAATCTCTATCTCTCGCGGATTTTTCTACATCTACTCTAACCTTCAGTATAACCTCTCACTAAGACTTCTACGCCTTCAGTATAAATCATAACTGAGACTTCCTCCTAACTCACCGGTGAGATTTCTTCCCTGGCTTAAACTATCAGAAATCTTTAACCCAAACCAAGAACCGCATATAGGCCTGGATCACCCTGTACTTGGGCTGCTCACTCCAAGAAGTTACACTACCAAACCTGCTAGAACTGTAACCTTCCCAACTCGGTTATACTATTATTGCATAACCGAGTGAGTGATACAACCCCGTCACGACCCCTGTCCTTCTGCTGGCCATATAGTCATGAGACCCACATTTACGATTAGACATGTCATACTTTTCATTTTATTTTTACTGTACTGTATCTTACACTCCATGGTGAAAAAACAAAAACAATCTACATACTTCAGGAAATTTAACAACCTACAGCACTTGTTAATTATTTTCATCTTGTGTGTATTATTTTTTGCCATCTTCCTTGATCAACTCTTTCTGGCTGGAGTGTTTGAGCGTTGAAATCAGTCATTTTCTGTATTTGACACAAAGACTGGACGTTACGATAATCAAACTTCCATTGTGACATACCTAACCGATGACCACTGATGTGTCTTACAACCATGGTACAGGGTGGCGAGGGTGAGGGAGGAGCTGAGGGTGCAAGAGAGAAGGACGGGACCCTCAGCCAGCAGGAGCAGGTTGCAGAAGAGGCGACACCGACAGGAGACGCCACCAAGCACATCATCCTGCCACTCAGGGAACAAACCAACCATAACCTTAACACTGTCGCACCTACACACTGATACTGTTGCACCTACACACTGATACTGTCTCACACACACACACACACTGATACTGCCTCACCCTCACACTAATATTGTCTCACCTAAACACTGATACTGTCTCACCCTCACACTAATATTGTCTCACCTAAACTCTGATACTGTCTCACACACACACTGATACTGTCTCACACACACACTGATACTGTCACACACACACACACACACTGATACTGCCTCACCCTCACACTAATATTGTCTCACACACACACTGATACTGTCTCACCCTCACACTAATATTGTCTCACCTAAACTCTGATACTGTCTCATACACACACTGATACTGTCTCACACACACATTGATACTGTCTCACCCACACACTGATACTGTCTCACCCTCACACTGATACTGTCACACACACACACACACACACTGATGCTGCCTCACCCTCACACTGATACTGTCTCACACACACACTGATAATGTCTCCCCTTCATACTAACGCTCTCTTACCCACACACTAAAAACTATCACATCAGATTAATACCACTGACCACACCCCCATTAAGACACTTTGGCTGTGTTAAGCAGCACCAAACATTAAACAACCTCACGTCTAAAAAACAATCTCCAACCCAACACGTTGTCCCACACTTCTAAGTAATCTTGCATCTGACACCACAACCAACCATCTCAAGTTTTCCAACACTTACCTTATAATCATCAGCTGGAAATCAAGAGGGGAACAGTGAGCGTGACCTAGAGAAGGCTGTGAGTTTAATAAGAGTTGTGGGCGGGATTTTCTTATGATCCCATCCTCTAGACTTCTAGAGAGCATGCCATTATATTGTCTGACATTCATAAACATACAAACAGACATACAGATAAAAGGTCATGTTATACTATATACTATGTGCAAACACCAAAGAGGTAAGAAAAATATTTAAATGAAAAATGTATAGCGTATCCAAATATACAGTAATTATGTCAAATGAGCTTCATTTTCACAGTTGTCTTTTGTAGATGTCTACCGTATATATAATAATCATTCCACATATAAGCTCTCACTGGACAAGAACTTCACGAATTATACAATATCGAACCACTGAACATACGTACACACAGCCAAGCACAGAGAATATGGATCAAACTTGAAGAGATGGAGGACCCATTATTCTCCAAGTTAAAAGAAGAAGGAACTACTAAAACACACAGCTGGTGGCCCAAGAGCCTCCATGCTGACATAGCAGAACAAGACCCACTTTACACATATATGTGAACAAATAACACCACCATCGGACAAACAAAAATTAACACCCATTACAATAATGAATATCTAGCTAGCTTAGCTTCCCCCCTCAACCTCCCTCCCTAGAGCGGGCGGGCGTGTGCTGCGCACGGCCACCACCCAATCATTTCAACTCGTCTCCGCTAGGTGGACAGCCCACCTGCTATCTACCCCTCCCACTTTTCTTCCCGTTTCCATGCTTTACTTCTCTCTCTCTCTCCTCTCCTTTCCCAGTGCAAAGTCATTTGCCACTTTACTTCATTATCATCGTCATCATCATCTCACTGGAGATGTAAATATTTGTTTATATAGGCCTACATTAATTAATATTTTTATCTCCATGATGGTGTGTACAGTTGCACTATATGGCGGTACATATACAACCTAACGTATTGTACATATATATCAAAGTTGTACACACCGTTGCCTTATACGTTATATCGTAAGAGTATATATGTAATAAAGAATTAAGACAACGATAATTTTCTTTTCCTGTTGTTTGAAATATAGTAATATACAGGCACATACCACTGTATTGTGCAGTCGCGAACACAAAACTTGTGAATCCAAAGCATTTATGGACAGAATAATGCATCAGTGTACTGCTTTAGGTTCACGAGTCTGAATCTCGGGGTTCGTGGAGCAGCAAAAGAGGCGACAGGACTTATGTTTGCGACTGTACGTGTACCTTTTGGCCTACGTTGCTTTACTCATCACACCAAACCACCAACCAAACATTTGTAATTGGTGGGAGGAACTTATATTACGGTTTGTTTTTTACTACAACCTTAAGTTTTCTCCAGGGCGTCATGTTGTTCTGCCTACGACTCGTGAATCAGTAAAAAAAAAATTGTCTTTGATTTAAAATTTTACAATTTACATATAAACATAGATATTACATATTAATATATTTGTCCGTGAAATATTAGGATGACTTTTATTTTAAAATGCACTTGATCATCCATTTATTATAATATATCCTGCTTTTAATGAAGGCTATAGTCTCCTAAGCATTATAATTTTCCTTCCAACTTAACCGCATACATAAGAACATAAGAACATAAGAATGGAGGAAACTGCAGCGGGCCTATTGGCCCATACTGGGCAGTCCCGTTTACACCCAACCCCTATTGCTCATATAAGCATCCAACCTATGTTTGAAGCTATTCAGCGTATTCGAGTTAATGATGATATTTGGTAACTTGTTCCATTCATCCACTACTCTGTTTCCAAACCAGTGTTTACCGATTTCACGCCTAAATCTAAATTTATCTAATTTAAAACCATTGTTACGAGTTCGCACCTGGTTGGATAGTTTGAGTACCTTTGTAATGTCCCCTTTGTTTAGCCCTGCCTTCCACTTATACACCTCTATCAGGTCGCCCCTCGCTCTACGTCTCTCGAGGGAGTGCAAATTAAGATGCTTTAGCCTGTCTCTATATTCAAGGTTCCTAATGCCCGGGATTAGTCTTGTCATTCTCCTCTGAATTCTTTCCAAGGATTCTATATCCATTCTGTAATACGGTGACCAGAACTGAACTGCGTAGTCCAGGTGTGGTCTCACAAGAGCAAGATACAGTTTTAGGATGACCTCGCTAGTCTTGTAACTAACACTCCTTTGTATGAACCCAAGTACTTTATTAGCCTTGTTACGAGCAAAAACACATTGTTTACTTGGTTTAAGGTTCCTACTTATCATTACTCCTAAATCTCTCTCGCAGTCGGATTTCTCTATGGCATCGTTGTTCATCTGGTATCTGGTTTCCCTGTTTACATCTCCTATACTGAGTACTTTACATTTGTCGACGTTGAATTTCATCTGCCATTTTTCAGACCATTCGAAAAATTTGTTTAGATCTTCCTGTAGTTTTGCCGAGTCCTCGTCAGATTTAATAACACGTCCTATTTTAGTGTCATCAGCAAATTTACTTATGTTGCTGTCTATGCCGATATCTATGTCGTTTATGTATATAATAAATAATAATGGTCCAAGTACTGAGCCTTGGGGAACACCACTTGTGACGTTGCTCCAATGGGACTTAGTGCCATTAATGCTCACTCGCTGTTTCCTGTCCTGTAACCACGCCCTAATCCATTTAAGGATGTCACCTTTGATGCCATGTGCTTCTACCTTTCTAATTAGTCTTTCGTGGGGGACTCTGTCGAAGGCTTTGCTAAAGTCGAGATATACCACATCATAATTGTGCCCCTCGTCCACCGATTCGAAAACTGATGAAAAGAATGTTAATAGATTAGTTAGGCAAGAGCGTCCGCTTGTGAAGCCATGCTGGGAATCATTGATCAATCTGTGCTTCTCCAGGTGATTTCGAATAGAGTTTGAGATGATTGCTTCCAGTAATTTGCCTACTATTGATGTTAAACTGATTGGGCGGTAGTTAGAGGATAGTGATCTATCCCCCTTCTTGAAAATCGGTATTACATTCGCTATCCTCCAGGATTCTGGTACTACACCTGTTTTTAAGGACATGTTAACAACTTTGCTAAGGGCATACTAAGCTCTTCCTTACATTCCTTTAATACTCTGACAAATATCTCATCGGGACCAGGTGACTTATTAGGCTTTAGTTTGTCTATTTGCTTACTAACATCGTTACTAGTCACTACTATCTCACTTAATTTGTTTTCTTCACTATCTCTGAATAGAGTCGGTGCCTCGGGTATCATGTTTAAATTTTCGGTGGTGAAAACTGTTGAAAAATATTTATTCAAATTATTGCTCATTTCTCTGTCGTTATCAGTGAGCTCGCCGGTGTCTGACCGTATTGGTCCAATCGTTTCTCGTGTTTTAGTTTGATGCATTTGGTAGAATCCTTTGGGGTTTGTCTTCGCCTCCCTTGCTATCCTTACCTCATTATTCCTCTTTGCTTTCCTTATCTTGGTTTTAACCCTACTCGCCAATACCCTATAATAGTCCCGGAGGTGAATTTCGCAAAATAGTCCCTTATTTTTACTACAGTTAATATTAAATATTAAAAAATGTACAAATAATTTGCTATTAACATTGCAGACTGTATTCAGGAAATTTTTAAACAATTTAATTATCTCTGTCATGGTTTTGGTTGTATCCGTGGTAGTAGGAGTGGATTATATTATATAAAGATAATAATATGTCGTATTTCTTATTTCTTACCGTAGAGTCCGATACCTTCACACTGATTACTTACAGGAGATTATGGCGTATCTACATAGAAGTTCACTCCACCACTCGACATTCCATGATTTATACTTGATAAATGATGATTTAATGAATTCATTTAATTTTCAACATCTATCTAAGTTACTGGTTATACTTTGTCATAACCAATCAGTCATTACCTTTAGTAATAATAAGATAGGCTCACAGATACGGGCAGATAATTGCACTTACATTTATTTGTCAAGCTTCCATACAATGATTTACAATTTGCATGGATATATGATTTACTCACGTTCACGCTGTAATAAAATTAATCTTCTAAAACAGGGAATTTCCAACTTGGGGACACATGTGATTACTCTACTGTGGTATGACTTAACAGAGCCTTAATTCTTCAAGTGATACATTTACTGCCAGCCTGGATTGCTCTTGTTGCAACCAGGCTTCATCACAAGAATTTCTTCCCACGGCCATAACAACAAAAAGGTACTCTTGGGTTACCACACATAGTCTCGCGTCACTGACAGTCACTGGACGGTTGTCGCGGCAAGTAGAGCTGGTAAGCCTGACTTGAATTAACCATTAGGTGCAATAGACCAGCCTGGATTGCTTTTGTCGCAACCAGGCTTCCACACGTGATATTTTCACGGGGATAACAAACCTAGGTTAACACACTTAGTCTCGTGTCGATCACGGTCACGGTAGACGGGTGTCGTGCAGGAGAACTCTGTAAGCGTGAATTAATTAACCATTTACTGTAGGTTTGATAGGCCAGCCTGGATTGCTCTTGTCGCAACCAGGCAACCACACGTGATATTTCCACGGGGATAACAACCTAGGTTAACACTCTTAGTCTCGTGTCGACGACGGTTCACAGGACGGTTGTCGCCGCAAGTAGACTCTGTGTGGTGTGGTGTCCCGCCCCCTTTCAGGAGGGAGAGGATGG